TTCCATCTCCTCTACAAATGGCTGCAGGCTTGCATTTATTATGTTTCTTGACTTTAAAGTACTATTAGAGCCCTCCAGGCCCTGATACCTGCCCTCAAAGAGGGAATCTCAGATCACCCTCTCATACCTAACCCCAAGAACCCAGTGCTGTTTTTACCAGAAAGGAGTGTGTTTTGAAGAGCTGCTTATACTTTAGAAACAAATGTTGGCAAAGAGAGGCCAAGGCAGAGGAGAGTAAGCTAGTGGGGAGGATATAGGAGTGTGGATGCTTTCAGGTGCGTATTTACCCCCCCTCATGCCACTAGCTGCAGTGGTTTCTAGGAAAAAGTTGAGTTTTAGTTTCAGTATTTTTTTTCAGTAGAAAAAATAATCCATGTTTATGCAAAAGGTTGTGTTTTCTGATTGTGAGAAGTTATGTAAGTGGCTGACCATTGAAATAGGAACTATTTAGAAGAATGAGCAGTGTATGGTTAAGCTAGTAGGGTGGCCTCTGCCCCGTGCCCCCTCAGTCACTTCCCACCTCTGCAGTGCCCCACATCCCGATGCTCTGGGAGAGCAGATCAGGCCTAAGTCACTCCACTTGGACAGGCCTGTGTCACTCCACTTGGACAGGCCTCTCCGCACAACCACCCCTGTGGAATAAAAGCTGTGGTCACAGTGGGTCCAAGAGACTGGTCAGTGCCATCCTCAGATGGAAGGCAGGATGCAGTCCTCCCTGAGTGGCTGTCTGCTCTGTCCCTTCCCATCCTCTTCTGCTGGTCCCCATGGAAAACTGGTTCCACTGTAATTAATGCCCCAGCCTTTCAACCTTCCTAGATGCTCCTGCCTCCTCCTTTCCTCCCCAGGAATAACACATCCTCGGGCCTTTTCTGGGGAAAGGTCTGCACTCTCCCAGATGGGGAAGAGGTAAAGACCTTGCTTAGCTCTACCTTCTTTTCATTTTTTTATTAAGGTATCATTGATATGGTACTCTTGATAAGATTGATATGATATGAACTCTTAATGAAGGTTTCACATGAGCAACATTGTGGTTACTACATTCACCCATATTATCAAGTACCTCCCTTACCCCACTGCAGTCACTGTCCATCAGTGTAGAAAGATACCACAGAGTCAGTACTTGTCTCCTCTGTGATACACTGTCTTCCCCATGATCCCCCACACACCATGTGTACCAATCATAAAAACCCTCAATCCCCTTCTCCCCCACCCCTCCCCTTTGGTAACCAATAGTCCCTTCTTGGAGTCAGTGAGTCAGCTGCTGTTTTGTTCCTTCAGTTTTGCTTTGTTGTTATACTCCACAAATGAGGGAAATCATTTGGTACTTGTCTTTCTCTGCCAGGCTTATTTCACTGAGCATAATACCCTCTAGCTCCATCTATGTTGCTGCGAATGGTAGGATTGTTTTCTTCTTACGGCTGAATAATATTCCAGTGTGGGTTTTTTTGGGTTTTGTTTTTTTTGTGTGTGTTATATCCAGTCTCTCTTACTAGCCACTGAAGAGAACTTCTAGCTGATACACCTAGGCTTTAGCCTTACACATGCTGCTGACTTTTGTGTGAACTTGGGGGCAGGTGGAGAATATGGGTGCTATTTTCTATTTTGGATTGGGTAATGTTTGGGTTAAGAGTATGGGCTCAAATCCATCCTCATTTATTAGGTGTGCTATTGCCAGGAAACTTCATAATGGAGACCACTAATTCAGGTAATAACTTCAAACTCATGGAGTTTTGTTAGCATCCCCCACGAGTGGACAGTCAGTGACAGGGCTTTTGGCTCTCTCTTTCCTTCATTGGCCAGAATTGATCATGTGACAACTGTAGCTGCAAGGCATCCTGGGAGAGTGAGAACCTGCCATTTTCAGCTCTTTTTATGGGAGGCAGTGCCTGCTTTCCTGAAAGGGGAGATGGGAGTGGCTGCTGGAGAGCTACCCATGAGGCCTGCACACCCTCTTCCTTCAGTATATGCATTCATTGGGCATCTATCCTGGGACAGATCTTCCAGTTCAACCAGACCAGTTTCTCTTTTATTTTATATATTAGTCTTCTCTGTCCTTCATCACACTTGTAGAAACTTTGTCTGTTATACTGGCATTTCCAAAGAACCAAATGTTTTCAGTTTTATTGATGAACTCTATGTTTTGTTTTACTTTTCATTTGTTTCTATTATTTTTGTTGTTATAACTAAGCAACATTATGGTTACTAGACTCCCTCCATTATCAAGTCGCCACCACATACCGCATTATAGTCACTGTCCATCAGTGTAGAAGCTGTTATAGAATAACTACTTGTCTTCTCTGTGTTATACTGTCTTCTCCATGCCCCCCTAACCTCACTACATTATGTGTGCTAATCGTAATGCCCCTTTTTCCCCTTATCCCTCACTTTCCACCCATCCTCCCAGTCCCTTTCCCTTTGGTAATTGTTAGTCCATTCTCGGGTTCTGTGTCTACTGCTGTTTTGTTTCTTCAGTTTTTGCTTTGTTCTTATACTCCACAGATGAATGAAATCATTTGATACTTGTCTTTCTCCTCCTGGCTTATTTCACTGAGTATAATACCCGCTAGCTCCATCCATGTTGCTGCAAATAGTAGGATTTGTTTTCTTCTTACGGCTGAATAATATTCCATTGTGTGTATGTACCACATCTTCTTTATCCATTTATCTCCTGGTGGACACTTAGGTTGCTTCCATAACTTGGCT